GTCCCTGGCATCATGACCTGAGCTATAATCGAGTCAGACATTCAACTGACTGACTCAACCACTCAACCACTTAGGTGCCCCACTGTTAACCAGTTTAAAGTATACACTTCAATGGCATTTGTTGCATTCAATTTTTGTTTCTTGCTTCCTCATTTAAAAATGTTTTTTTTTTTTTTTAAATGTTTTAATCTCACATGTGATACTCTGTGAGACCCCTGTTCCTCTGAAACTCCAGACAAAGAGTGATTTTCAGAGGCAGGATGGGTGACAGCTTGTGCAGAGAAGGGATGAAATCAGTCCTTCCTCCCCATCTCACCCCTTAACGCCATGCAAATAAGCCAGTGAGAGAGATGCTTAGTTAACCTTTTAGTGGAAACGTGCCAAAGGCAACAAATAAGTCACTCCTTCAAGTGTCCTATTTGAGTGATAAGGTTTTTGCTGTCTTTTTACTTTCGCTGAAATACTTTGGGTACAACAAAACCAAACCAAACCCAAAAAACCAAAAAACGGGTTGAGGGGGAACCAGCAGCTTTGATGATAATTTTGGTTTGACTCATCATCCCAGTGAAAAGAGTGGGGTCACGACTGTTTAGGAACTGCTGTTTAGGAGGCTGGGGTGGTGGGCTCGTCCCGGGTCTGACTCTCGCTCAGTACTTGCAGCCTGAGTGGCTCCGCCTCTCACATGGATCTTCCCCCACCCCCAAAACGCACACAAATTTCCAGCCCCCTGTGCTTCCTCCATTCTGGCGCTTGGTTTGGGGCTACTCATCTGGCTTCGAGGGCAAAGCTTTGAGGTTTTTAAATTTTTATTTATTTATTTTTTAAATGTTTATTTATTTTTGAGAGAGAGAGAGAGAGAGAGAGAGAAAACAAGCGGGGGGGGGGGGCAGAGAGGGAGACACAGAATCCGAAGCAGGCTCCAGGCTCTGAGCTGTCAGCACAGAGCCCGACGCAGAGCTTGAACTAGTGAACATCGAGACCATGACCTGAGCCGAAGTCAGGTGTTTGACTGAGCCACCCAGGCGCCCCAAAACCTTGAGTTTTTTGAGTGGTCATTTTATAAACCTCGTTCAGTCTCTTCAATTTGACTGAAGACCCTTTATATTTGAAATCTCTTTGTATTGTGCCTGGGTGGCTCAGTTTGTCTGTCTGACTTCGGCTCAGATCATGATCCCGCAGTTCGTGAGTTTGAGCCCTGCATCCAGCTCTGTGCTGACAGCTCAGAGCCTGGAGCCTACTTCAGATTCTGTGTCTCCCTCTCTCTCTGCCCCTCCCCCACTTGCACTCCGTCTCTCTCTCAAAAATAAACATTTAAAAATTTGAAATCTCTTTGTATTTCCTGCTTTTATTTAATTTGAGAAATACATGTTAAAATATATCTGAAGTTCTTTCCCGTGCATGTAATTCGTCAGACCTGTGTGGTGCCTAAAGTTTAAATCTACATGGCTCTTACTCCCTCCGAGGACTAAATCTAAATCTGAATAGGAAAGATAAACAAGATATGCTTATCTGACAACTGTTTTTTCAGCTTGCATAATGGTGGGTGCAGGGATGCAAAGTTGCATTAGACAAAGTTTTGACAGGCAGGGATTATTGTGGGCTTGTAAATTGTTGCTTTGGGCTCACAATAACACTCATTCACTGAACCTCACCGAGAGACCCCTAGGAGATGCTTGAAATTCTCATTTAGATCAGGGAAGTGTGGTCTTAAAGGACATCCTTAGGAAAAGGTAAACTTAAGAATTATTTTAGGGGCGCCTGGGTGGCTTAGTCGGTTAAGCGTCCGACTTTCGCTTAGGTCATGATCTCGCGGTTCGTGGGTTCGAGCCCCGCGTCGGGCTCTGTGCTGACTGCCAGCTCAGAGCCTGGAGCCTATTTCAGTCTGTGTGTGTGTCTCTCTACCCCTCCCCTACTCATGCTTTCTCTTTCTCTCTAATAAACATTAAAAAATTTAAAAAAAAAGAATTATTTTAATGTCTTCTCTTATAAACAATTCCTTGAAGGATAAAGAACACTAATTAATTGATGGAAGGGGGTCAGAATCCATAAAAGGATGTTTTAATAAGATACAGATCGTAACTCTAATCCAAATCAACACATCTCGGGGCACCCAGGTGGCTCACTTTCTTAACTGTCTGACTCTTGATTTTTGGCTCAGGTCATGATCTCAGGGTTGTGAGATCAAGAGGGAGTCATGAAAATAAAATATTGGGAAGAAACACATCATTTAATGTGTTCATCACTTTACTATGCAATATTAGCAAGGCTTGTGTTTAACAGTAATATGTGGTTATACTCTTAAAGTCAAAGTGTGGGTGGCACTGGACGGACCCCTTCTCTCTAAGAACTTCCTACCCAGCCCACAAGTCTGGATTCTTGATTCTTCTAGTCTTGTTTCTGTTTTTTTGGTGCTACCCTATCATCAAGGCTGACTGTCCAGAGCTGAATCCTGAGTGAAGAAGGAACGGTTAGCTTCTCTTTCCCAGAAAGTGGACATTTTGATCTAGAATGATTTGAGGCAGCAAGCACTTTAAGGAGAAAATCTCTGCATGTGTCTGTGCTCGGCGAGGTCCTCAAAGATTCTCTGTCTCTGTCCTCTTAAGGCCTGGTGCCCCTCTTTCCCTGCATTTAGGAGATGCTCCCAGGTTCTCCCACAAGTGCCTCCCCCCTTTGAGTTTTTGCTTAAATTCTTTCTTCTTTTTTTCTTTTCCCTTCCCCCCCCTCCCCTTTTTGGGTCACTTGCAACCAGAGGAAGCTCAATTTAACATAAAGCAACACACATGTCTAATGTGATGTTACTTCAGTGCTAACATGGAATTTATGGTTTAGGGTGAAATGAAGATCACAGAGTCACATTCTGCCTAATTCTGTCCTTTCTGGAGTGCAACAACTCTAAAAAGCCACAACCAATGTGTTTAGAATTAATCGAAGGTAAGTGGAAGCACTGTGTTAGAAAATGGTTTAAGGAATTTGCAAGAAAATGTGAGGCCTGTTAACTTAAACACGAAATTTTTTTTATTTGGTAAAGAATTTCTGTCTGTCTGTTAGACTTCCTTCCTTTTAGAAGCCCAGCATCTAGGGTTGGAGATTATTTGTGAACTGTCCCTAAAAGTTCCCTTTCAGTTTCTTCTAATCCAATGAGAGTCTTCTTTTTGATTAAGCGCCCGGTATGAATGTTATGCTGACCCACTCAGGATGTAAAAGTCCTAAGTCATTAGATGACGTGAGGTTTCAAAAAACTTTAAACAGCAGGAAATAGAGCAGAACTCTCACCAACACTTGCAGACTAGGGTAGCAGCCACAAAGTATGTCGTATCCTGTTCTGCCACTTTCGTTGGGCTGGAACATATTGTCTCATAGACCCAGTTAACTCTGGAAGAACTTAATAGGTACAAATTGTTTAGTGTGAAGGAGGGCAGTGTAATTATACCCATGGACTCTACAACTTCTCAAGTTCAGATGAAAGCGACAATCTTGGTCTTGTCTAACACTCAGGGTGTTTCCCATTAAACTGAAATCATAGTAAGCACCTGTGATTTCTTCGGCATGATCTCTATCATGAAAAAAAAGTGAATGGTTCTGTCCTTCCCTTTCTTTCAGAAGCAGCAATAGGTTGCTGTACCTGAAAATCTCCATCCAGATTTATCTCCTCTTTTTTGTGCCCCAAAATAAATGGCCTAAAACTGGGGCCAGTGTTGGGTAAGATTAGATGTGATTTTTTTCTTTCTTTTTTTTTTTTTTTTTTTGAGAGAGAGAGAGAGAGAGAGAGAGAGGAGGGGGGAGGGGCAGAGAGAGAGAGGGAGATCTACACAAGGTTCAATCCCACGACCCTGGAATCATGACCTGAACTAAATCAAGAGGTGGATGCTTACCTGACTGAGCCATTCAGGCGCCCTGGCTTCTGATCCTGAATGTGTATATCTGTGTAGACACGTGCATGTGTATTTGGATACCATTGTACCTCATCACATCCAAAAATTATGCTATCTACAATCTTTCTAAATATGTAGATGGGAAACCATAATTAACCATGTCTAAATTATGTACATGTAATTATAACTGTTGGAGTCACTATTTTGGTAGTCTTTCTTTGAAGTCCCATTTCTTGTTCTCACACTAATGTCCTAAGTCCCCATGATATGAACCAAGGTGGAAAGATGGTGGAAATGCTGTTCTGGAAATCCAGAGGACCACTCAGTGTGCCTGTGGTGACCCCAGAGTAGATAAACACCGCATTGTTAGGAAGGGAATTATGTCCGTCCCTCTCTATCCTCAGCATGTGAAAAACTACAAAATGTAGGACAAGCATACTGGATTAGCCTTCTGCCTGGGTAATATATTATCTTCATTTCTAGAGAAGCATATAAGCAAATGTGTTCCCCTCTTGCAGAACTTAATATATACAGAAATCTTGAAAATTCTCATTCCGGACTGCAACAAACATTTACATTTCATGTGAATAGATGAAGACGTCATCTCTTGAACTATTTATCCCCTTATCATCCTATAAACTGGGATTTTTAAGGTTTTCTAAAAAATAAACCCTTGGGGACATTTTCCTTCTTTCCGTTATTTAGGAGTGGAAAAGATACCTAATCTTACTCCCTCTGTCAGCCTCAGCCTACAGACTGTGAAAACACATTAGTCACTCAATTTACACTTCTTTTATTTTTATTTTTTATTTTTTATTTATTTCTAGGAGAGAGAGAGACAGCGTGAGCAGGGGAGGGTCAGAGAGAGGGGGAGTCACAGACTCTGAAACAGGCTCCAGGCTCTGAGCTGGCAGTCAGCACAGAGCCCGACGCGGGGCCCGAACCCACGAACCTCGAGATCATGACCTAAGCGAAAGTCGGACGCTTAACCGACTAAGCCACCCAGGCGCCCCTCAATTTACACTTCTGAAGGAAAACAACAACAACAACAACACACACATGCACACACACACACACACACACACAGAAACTAACAATAACAAAGTAAGCTCTCTGGTTCTCTGATCATACAGTTTTCTAAATAAAGTTTACTGGTTTGTATCTCAATTGCTATACTGAAATCCCTAAAACCTCAAGGTAACAAAGCAAAAGAAAGGGACCTGTGCTCTCGGAATGTGCAGCGTTCACAGGGGAGCCTGGTCGTGGCTCTGCAGCAACTCTTCCATGTTCCCCAAGGAAGCAAAGTTAACCTCTTGAGCAGCCCTTATTTCTGCCCCTTCTTCTTGCAATATTTCCCCCCAAAGGCAGAGGAAGAGATTGTGGTTTGCAGCCCAGCAGGCTTGGATTCCGCTGGCTCCCCAGACCCTCGCCCGTGAGGCCTTGCCCAGTTCTGACTTCATATGCTTCTTCCTTAGATGGATATAGCTCCTTGGCGGGGGGCAGAATGGTCAGCAATTGTGACTGTTCCTGGTGGAACAGAGATGACCAAAGTGACATCCTGAGAAATTTAACAGCGGCTCTCCTCATTCCGCAGAATCCTGAGACTTGAGTCATTTTTTCAGAAGGTAGTAGCAGTGGGGAAGGCATCCTTACCCCAGCATTCCTCATCTCTCTTGTGACTCAGAGAAACGCCCTGTGATGTGGATGGACATTCTATCTCAGAGAGGCTGGAGGGCCTAATGCTGCCCAAGTCCAGGGCCTATGTTTCTTATCTTTTCACCCTGGTGTCTGTATCCATGTTCTCATTTCCATGCCAGGTGTGACTGTCTTTGTGGGCCTGTAGGAAACCCAACACACAGCTCTTAGACCGGGGTAGACAGCAGTCCAGACAGCAGTAGACAGTACTTATTCATGATGAATGTCTGTATCCCCTGGGATTCCACAAATCCTTCTTAGGTCCATAAAGGGGCACATATGAGGGCATTCACCATGGCGGGTGCGACAAAGGTACCCACCCCTGGTGGTAGGTGCTTGATGTGGGAGGTGTCCCCCACGAAGTCCCATCTACAGCTTAGATGTAGACACAGCAGGACTCTGCTCAGGGAATAAAGGAAGAAAGCAAATGAGATCTACAACATGATGTCACTTATACAAACTAAAAATTCGGGAGTATGAAAAAACTATACATTTTATAGTAACACAGGAGTCAAAATAATACACATTAAACACTCAGAACTGTGGTCTGTGGGAACTGGGAGTAGGAGGGGGGAATGGAGGAAAAAGGAATGGATGGATGGATGGATCGATGAATGGATGGATGGATAAGGAGATAGGTAGATAGATGAATGAGTGAATGAATGAATGAATGAATGAGCTGGGGCCCTGTACAGAGGAGTTGGGGATATGATTGCCTTAGCCCTTTGCTTCTGTATTCCTAAATAAAAAATAATTATCAGTTTCTATGTGTGTGACTTTTAAAAACTTGGGAAGCAGCCCTTCTGCAAACATTTCCTTGGAAGCCACCAAAAGTAGCAATTCAGAGGAACTGGACAAAAGCTGGATGTCAAACTAGGAGGGAAAAAGTGTGCACATAGCCTGTGTTTCCCATAATAACTACAGAAGGATGATTTGTCAAGACAGGCCATCACATGGAATAAACATGTAAAGTCACTAGGTATATTACATTAATAGTTTTAAAGAAATGCAAAGGATGTTGGAAGAAGATCATTAGATGATCTAGGGCGTCTAAACTTGGAGGATTCACACCAGTTCCTGAGAACTGCAGGGAATAGTACGGGCAGTATTTTCCTTTGTGCTGTTCTGCTTGCCTTACCTCTACCAACAATGACAGCCTGTTAGACCCTTCGGATTTCCAACCCCTATTACCTGCCTCATCAAAAGTATCTGAGAACTGTGTCTACAATCATTTTGAACCCAGTTTGGTTTGGGTCTTGAAGGTGGCTCTCCACTGGGCGCTAGGGAAGGAGGTGGCGGGGGGTGGGGGGGGGGGAAGGATTCAGACATCGGCTGGTAAGTGGGAAGGACTTTGCAGGTGTAGGGAGTCGCGTGATTGACAGCATGGAGGTAGGAAGGAGGAGGGCCAATGCAGGAGCCTGTCTAGAAATGAAGAAACTGTGCCCGGCACAGCTCCGGGATTTCCCAGGCCCTGGCTCCTATTGCGACTCAGACCCCATAGCGGCAGGTGATCCCGTGAGGGGAGGTGTCTTACCCCGGGGGGAGGGGCCTGGAGCCAGTAGGTTCTCGTTGAAATCTCGTAGATTAAAATAAAAAGCCCATTACAGGGGCACCTGGGTGGCTTAGTCGG